GAACGCTATCTTTCATATTTGTGGCCGGATTTTTACGATTTTAACAGAAGTTGCATCTTACAAATGGGAAATGAATGCAAGTGGAAATGCGCTTTATGTAAATCGTTTACGATTACCTACTTTTTAACTTGTTGTCGTTGTTGCCGGTGCAAGAAGTAAAGAAAAGGGACGCTAAAGGGTGGAAAAGTTTGTTAACGGCGCAGAAGTTGGAAACAATGGAAAATGGCTAGAAGGTTGATATGACATGCTTATTCTCAATATTAGTGGAGGCAGAAGTAAAGGAAAGGGACGTTAAAGGGTGAATAAATTTGTTAAGGGCGCAGAAGCTTGAAACATGATGGAAAATGACTAGAGGGTTGATATGGCATGCTTATTCTCAATATTAGTGGAGGCAGAAGTAAAGGAAAGGGACGTTAAAGGGTGAATAAATTTGTTAAGGGCGCAGAAGCTTGAAACATGATGGAAAATGACTAGAGGGTTGATATGGCATGCTTATTCTCAATATTAGTGGAGGCAGAAGTAAAGGAAAGGGACGTTAAAGGGTGAATAAATTTGTTAAGGGCGCAGAAGCTTGAAACATGATGGAAAATGACTAGAGGGTTGATATGGCATGCTTATTCTCAATATTAGTGGAGGCAGAAGTAAAGGAAAGGGACGTTAAAGGGTGAATAAATTTGTTAAGGGCGCAGAAGCTTGAAACATGATGGAAAATGACTAGAGGGTTGATATGGCATGCTTATTCTCAATATTAGTGGAGGCAGAAGTAAAGGAAAGGGACGTTAAAGGGTGAATAAATTTGTTAAGGGCGCAGAAGCTTGAAACATGATGGAAAATGACTAGAGGGTTGATGTGACACGCTTATTCTCAATATTGGTGGAGGCAGAAGTAAAGGAAAGGGGCGTTAAAGGGTGAAAAGATTTTGTTAAGGGTGCAGAAGCTAGACAGATGCCGGAAAATAGCTAGAGGGTTGATGTGACACGCTTTTTATCGTTGTTGGCGGTGCAAGAAGTAAAGAAAAGGGACGCTAAACGGTGTAAAAGTTTGTTAAGGGTGCAGAAGCTGGAAAGATGACGGAAAATAGCTAGAGGGTTGATGTGACACGCTTTTTATCGTTGTTGGCGGCGCAAGAAGTAAAGAAAATTGACGTTAAAGGGTAAAAAAATTTGTTAAGGGTGCAGAAACTGGAAATATGATGGAAAATGGCTAGAGGGTTGATGTGACACGCTTTTTATCGTTGTTGGTGGCGCAAGAAGTAAAGAAAATTGACGTTAAAAGGTAAAAAAATTTGTTAAGGGTGCAGAAACTGGAAATATGATGGAAAATGGCTAGAGGGTTGATGTGACACGCTTTTTATCGTTGTTGGTGGCGCAAGAAGTAAAGAAAATTGACGTTAAAAGGTAAAAAAATTTGTTAAGGGTGCAGAAACTGGAAATATGATGGAAAATGGCTAGAGGGTTGATGTGACACGCTTTTTATCGTTGTTGGTGGCGCAAGAAGTAAAGAAAATTGACGTTAAAAGGTAAAAAAATTTGTTAAGGGTGCAGAAACTGGAAATATGATGGAAAATGGCTAGAGGGTTGATGTGACACGCTTTTTATCGTTGTTGGTGGCGCAAGAAGTAAAGAAAATTGACGTTAAAAGGTAAAAAAATTTGTTAAGGGTGCAGAAACTGGAAATATGATGGAAAATGGCTAGAGGGTTGATGTGACACGCTTTTTATCGTTGTTGGTGGCGCAAGAAGTAAAGAAAAGGGACGTTAAAGGGTGAACAAATTTGTTAAGGGTGCAGAAGCTGGAAAGATGATGGAAAATGACTAGAGGGTTGATGTGACACGCTTTTTCTCGTTGTTGGCGGTGCAAGAAGTAAAGAAAAGGGACGCTAAAGGGTGAATAAATTTGTTAAGGGCGCAGGAGTTTGAAACATGATGGAAAATGGCTAGAGGTGACACGCTTTTTCTCGTTGTTGGCGGCGCAAGAAATAAAGGAAAGGGACGTTAAAGGGTGAATAAATTTGGTAAGGGTGCAGAAGCTTGAAACATAATGGAAAATGACTAGAGGGTTGATGTGACACGCTTTTTCTAATGCTTGACGGTGCAAAAAGTAAAGACAAAGGACGTCAAATGGTTAAATATTTTTTGCACGATCGGTTATTGTCGGCTACTTACTAATTCATTTTCAAGGCGGTAAGGTGCACTTACCAACCTAGGGCGGTAAGTGTATCATAGCAACGTGCTTAGCAACCAAGTGACAGTTATAGTAACAAGCGACAAGTAGGATATGTGTCAAAAATCAAATTATTGTTTATTAATGTAGAAGTTAAATGTACATTTGCAAGTTACAAAAATTAGTTCGGGAATTAGACAGGCAATTGGAAAACACGGTGTTTACAGATTCTTCACACTCAGCAGTCGATAGAGGTATGAAATAGCAGGTTCTGTTGATGGCAACGAAGATGATGAAGGGTTCCCTGAAGTTCCACATAAAATTTTCTGAGCGGTTTCAATCTTGTTAGTTAATAACTCATTACCACCAAGTACGTGTCATCGGGTGCTTCCGTAAGAAATTTATGGAAATCTGCTTTAGAAAAAACGCTAGATTTTTTGGCTGATACCCAACGTTCTTTCTTTTCAAAAATGCTATCAGCGTACTGTATTTAGAAATATCAACACCCCTTCTTAGAAAAATCATACTTTTCAACATGGAATAATCAAACCATAAGCTTGATGGCGATTTCAATCCTTCACTACGTTGAACAAAATATGCATTGATACATTGATACCTACATTCGAATTTAGTTTATATCAATTATAAATTAATCGTGCAAAAAATAGCGTAAGCACCACGGCCAGTAGGTGCTTAACCGATTTCGGATAATATTGCAAACCTGCGCTCTCGGTTTGCAATTATTATCCTCAACCGGTAAAGTACACCTACTGACCTTAATACTTAATATACTATTGCACCTTACATTTTAATCAATGATTCGTCTCATATCATCCGAAAATGTAAGAGAGTGGATCATAAACACCAATTACGTTATTTTTCACCCATTGAATCCTGTTGTACTCCGTACGGCGCGCCACATCAACCCTCTAGCCATTTTCCATCATTGTTTCAAGTTTCTGCGCCCTTAACAAATGTATTTACGTATCGTTCAAATTGCGTCTTTGGCCAGTTCCAGTGTGCTCCTTGAAAGATAAAGTAGAGGAGCAAAAATGTTAAAAAAAGATAGGCTTCTGGTGCAACTCCTCTCAAATGAGATGGTTGATAGAAATGTTGTCAAAATTGATCATTTTTAGACCGTAGCGGAACAGAATTTGGAATTCCTTCATATGCACAACCTAATTTACCACAAATAGAAGCATAATATTATACCTGGAAAAGAAGTCCATTGCTACGTTAGAAACACATCAAAAACTTAACTACAAAAATGGGCATACGTTCTAAAGATAACAACTTACGACGTTACACTTTCACCTGACTGGTTTTGTATTGTCTTCAAATTGATAGGAAAAATTAATTTCATGGAATTAAAATACGCCTTGTTTTGGATACGAATTTTTAGGTCAAAACTTGTTTACCAGTTTTCAATGGCATCCACACTTACTGGCTTTTACAGCCTCCAACAGGGTCTTCAAGGTTTTTAAGGGCTTTCAATAATCTTTGTGCAGTATTTTATTTATTAGAATGTAGAAAACTCCAAGGGTTTCAAGGGGCATTTAAAGGCCATTATAGGTCCTTAAAAGTCTCCAATAGTTCCTAAACAATCTTACGCTGTAAGCGCCTATATGAGCTTTTAAAGTTTCTAAAAGCCAGCCTTTAAGTTTTAAGTTCCTGAGCTTCCCTTCTCGTTTAAGAACGAGGTTTTTAAAAGGTCTCTTAAAGGCCCTTTAAAAGCTTTTGAAAACCTTAAGAGACGACAAAAACCTTAAGAAACTCTACGGACCGACCCTTTATTATTCTTAGAGAGATCTTTTGAGAGCTTTCTAAATTTATTAACGAGGTCCTAGCGAGTTTATAATTTTGCGGTGTCTGTGCGTCCGTTAGCACGATATCTCGATAACGAATGGACCGATTACGATAAAATTTATTAGGTGGATTCTTTATCAAATTTGTAGAGGGGAGTTCGTGAATTGGCAATGTAGCCCAATAATTAATAAGGAAGGCCCTTTTGACATCTCCGTGAGTTATTAACCGAATTGCATGAAATTCAATATTCGTATAGCTTTAGCCATATAAAACGCAATTCCAAAAATTGAGCCTAATCGATCAGCATTCACAGTGCCCTTTTCGCATCTCGATCATTTATAAACCGAATTGCAAACTTTTTTATATATTTATGAAGGTATTTAAAGAAATTTGATACATAGCCACTTGGAATAAAAGCAAATTTAACGCCAGTTTCAAAATTTCGTTTTGCGCATGCGCAGGGACAACTTTCTTATTTATGGAGGGATTTAAATGAAATTTGATACATAGCCACTTGAAATGAAAGCAAATGTAGCGCCATTTTCCAAATTTGGTTTTGTGTGGGATGTGTAGTGCCAATTAAATGAAATTGCATACATATACACCTTAAGTAAAAGCAAAACTAATATCTGGTTTAAAATTTTGGTTTTGCACATGCTATAGCCATACCCAGGAGCTCGTTTTCTATATTTGTTTAGTTTATTAGTTTTTGAGAGGTGTTATGGGACTTTTAAAGGCCGCGGTGACTGTATCCTCTTCCATTGGATAAGAGGTAAATAGACATCGTTATGGTATACTTACCAACTTGCTGTACTTTAGTCCAAACAGAAACGGGCCAAATTTGGTGCACAGAAGCTCTCGACCAAATCACTCGCTTGCGAATGGAAGCGCGTGTGGACAATTAAAACATAATTTACTGGGGAAATCCGATAATTATAAAAATTCCGTCGACTACCTTAATTGAGTAGCATAAAATCTGTAAGTAATATATCGCAACTGAGCAATAACTGCTTCATAAACCAATGGAAAATATTGGCATGCACTTTTTAGTATTCGCCATTAAGATTAGCGAGCGTGCAATTTATCAGCAGGCGAACATACTGCGTGACACGATTACAACGTGTGTTTATCTGCGTTAATTGCACGTTTTTGATACAAAACTCGTCCAATTAGCACTTCAAGTATGTAGTTTATATGTATAAATGATTAGGTGAATTAATTCAGTCGTATCCGTAAATGTTAAACAAACAGAAAAAGATGGGAAATTTGAAAAATTCCAGGAAACCAAAAAGGTCAAAAAGTCGAAGCAATTGAAAAGGTCGTACCTAAAGCGCCGAGAAGCTGAAGAAGTGGACGCAACGAGGTGATGATAAAACCGAAGACGATAGTGTGATAGATCAGGAAAACAACGATCATGCGAAGAGAATAAAGGAACAGTGAGCAAGCGATGAAGTCAAAAAGGGCCCAAAGATCTATACCTAAGCCTTTTACTATCTCCCTCTAGAGCCATCCCATCCCTCAACGTCCTTCGCCTAAGGATGCTGGAAGGGGCCGCGGCTCTAATCGTCCCAATTGGACTAGAGCGGAACATTCACAAAAGTATGTGGTGTGCCGTCTCGTCGTCTGTGTAGTTCTGTCTGTCTGTCTGTCTGTTTAGTTTGCAGTGCAGAAAAAATGTCGTGCCAAAATACCGTAAACAAAAACTGTAATTAATTCGCCGTTTGCAACCGTTCCCGTCAAGGTAATTAAAGAAATTTTAATTTTAAACGCTTTCGCATTTGGTACGCTGACCGAATTTTATAAAAGGTAAAGCAGTTGTTTAGAGAGGATCTTTTTGCCTTTGCATCTTCGCAAGTTACCTTCGTAAGTACCGTCATTTTTTTGGTTTTTTGTAAATTTACTTCGGCAACCGTACCGTATTTAAATCATCGATCTTTTGCCTTTGGTGTTTTCCTAGTGACATTTGTAAGTACCGTACACATTTGTAGCACTTTCCGTAAATTTATTTTGCGCCGTATTTACCGTTTTTGTATTTTCTTGCACAGAAATTTTTACCACTACGTTTAATTGCAAGGTAAGGTTTTGCTACTTTCTATTCCATTAGTTATAAGGGGGGATGTTGTTTCGCTTTATTGCATTTGCTTTCCCGTAGATACCGCTAATTAATATGTGCTTTGTTTCTTGAGCTACCGTGTCTGTAATTCTGCTTTCAGATCTTTCGCAAGAAGCCGATCACCGCTGCCAGCATGATTTCTGGAGAGCGTTTCTCCGACGTGTTTTCTGTGGCATCCATTTTGCAGTTTCCTAAACCATGCCCAGGGGCAAGTTCTCATCCTCTGGTGTCGTTCGAGTCCGCCCGTCCCGTTCCGCCACTTTCCGGTTGCCGTTTGTGTTGAAAGTGATTTATACTCGATTTAATTATTATACTTTAAATTTAATTTAACTAACTAAACCGTTTAATTTTAAAAGCTCACCGATTGAGTGCGAACTACCGAAGGCTAATAAATAAAAGAAGTTGAAGAGAAGCTGTTGTAGTAATCGGTAAATTGAACGAGCTTATATTGAACGACTTCCCCCATTTTCGAGTAGCAAGGTGTTCGTGTTGTGCCCAAATCTCAGAAATTTGAACAAGCTTGAAAACCTAGTTGAAAACCATAGAGCTCCAAAAATGGCAAAAAGATCGGAACCAGCCAAGGAAGACGAATACGACCTAAGGATTCGCAATAACAGGCGAAATCCTACCGTCTGCTATCATTAAGGGTTTTTTAGGAACTTCCTCTGAGAATCACGTACACCCCAGGGGTGTGACTCCACCGCTTCAGTTGCATTTCATACTCCTTCGATTTTTTAATGGGAAACAGCTACCCTTCGGACATCAACCCAGAATTTCAACCCCTACCAGTAAGTCACTTGGAAGATTTTGTCGTCTCAAGTTCTGCACCGATAGTATTTCGCATCCCCGGCGACCTTTAAAGTGAAAGGAAAATTTCAGTTTACAAGAAAGCCTCCTCGCTTTAACCGGAGATCGCCATTGGTCCGAGCGGATTTCAATTATTTACAGGAAAAAATTTGTCTCCTCAAAGCTGCCCTCCGGACTTCAACCCAGAATATTGACCCCTACCAGAAAGTCACTTGGAAGACTTTCGGTCCCAGCTAAGTAAATATATGCGAAGTGCTTTTCGGGCATAATAGAAAACTCCAGCTTAGAACATTTGAGTGTGAACATGCAAATTCCGCGAGTTTTACAGTAGAATCAATTACTATCTAGAAGGAGAGTAAGAAACTGTGTCATTTTTTACACCATAAAAGGAATTATTGTGCAACCAGAAGAAGTTAAAACTTCATTGTGAAATACAATCGTATAAATTGGAGTCGTTCGGTCAAGGACAGATTATTTAAACGCGCTGACTTATTTTTCGTTACAAAAAATTCAGCTTTGCTCTTGTTAGTGAACAAGGGCGGTCAAACTTGATTGTTGAAATAGGTACATAACTTCGAAAGTGGTAGAAATGAGAAAGCCTTGGGTTTAGTTACCAAATTTCTTCTTTTCTGTGAATAAAAATAATTTTCACGCCCGTTTGCAGTTCTTCTGAAGTACCTCAAATGCCCTTTACGTTTACGTTACCCTCAAGCTTTGCTAAATTTCCCCCTGAAGTTCTCTTCTCAAGTTATATTAAAAAATAAAACAGTGTGACCGATTTGGGGCCAGGGAAGACATTTGTGGTGAATGAAAAACTGAAAAATACTTAAAAACTCGCAAATTCATATTTGGAAAATTAAGTTCAACTTATGAAACCCACAATTGAACATTTTTACTTTAGCTCTCTTCTGCTAAACATAAGTCCCTTATTCGTTCTTCACCTAATGCCTTCGCACCACTTACAGTATGTAGAATGTCTACACAATATATTATAATACAGCATAAAATACTGTACAGTCAGTACATTCTTCAATTACGTGACAAGATACGATTAATTTCGCAACTGCATTTTTGTGCCCTTTAAATTCCACTTCCCACCGTAAAATTAAAGCAGTTACGTGGTGCCTTATGCCTCATTCTGGTTTTTGGGGCGGAACGTTGGTTTTTCCACTTGGCTACTGACGTAGGCACGAAATGAAAGGTAGATCGTATTGCAATTACGACGACGGTATGTTGGTAAACCCCCACGGGCGTTTATTATAAATAATTTAAAACCCTAAATTAGCGTTAGTATTTATTTACATAAGGCGTACCTGCCGATTGTGTGCTAAGGACAGCGGGAAATATTCGTAGGCAATCAGGTTTAATTAATTACTGCAATTAAGCACTTCTTCCGCACGTAATTATATACCAACTTGTCCTTTTGAGGACGTAATCACCGACGGCAAACACACACGCGACTACTTTACCAATTTCACAACCCGTTTTTATAAACAATTTCTGCATGGATAGCTAGGTTTTTCCCTCCTACAAGTAATCCAATTCAGGTATTTTCCAGTCTCAATTATAATAATTAACTAATCCCATACAGATTTGACGAAATTCGCAATTATTGGAGTATGCACATTTTTTCAAATGAATTGTATAAATTTTCAAAAATCTGTCCTAATTTTTACGGACCAATATATTTATTAACGAGCTCCTAGCGAGTTTATAATTTTGCTGTCTGTCCGTCCGTTAGCACGATATCTCGATAACGAATCGACCGATTACGATAAAATTTAGTAGATGGATTCTTTATCAAATTTGTAGATCGGAGTTCGTGAATTGGCACTGTAGCCCAAAAAATAAGGAAGGCCCTTTTGACGTTTCCGTGAGATATGAACCGAATTGCTTGAAATTCAATTTGCGTATAGCTTTAGCCGTATAAAACGCAATTCCAAAAATTAAGCCTAATCGATCAACATTCACAGTGCCCTTTTCGCATCTCGACCATTTATAAGCCGAATTGCAAACTTTTTTTATGAAAGTATTTCAATGAAATGGAGCTCGTTTTCTATATTTGTTTAGTTTATTAAATTAGACACTCAGATGACCCGAAAACTGGTACTTGCAACAGTACTTGTTTCATGGAATTGTGGACGATGTAACAGAAATCGATGTATTGTCCAGGGGATGCAAGTACCTATGCATTATTTTCATGAACTTATTCCTCAAAAATTTCTGCAAATCTTTTAATTATTCTGTTTCTTCGAACTCTCTTAAATCTCTGCTTTATATTTTTAGCGCATTTTTTAAGAATGTGGTATTGTTTGCGTTTTGTCCGTCCGTCCGTCCGTCCGGATCCACTTCTACCGTTTTGAACTACTTCTAAGAGAATGGTCCTAGAGTCCTGGAATGTTTTGCAGTAGGTAGCCTATACCTTGAAGGTGTGCCAGACGGCCATCTAAAAGGGGGCCCCGCACGAATTATTTCCTGAGATGCTGTTTTTGAAAGTAAAACGTGCATTGCGTTTACATAATTATAATAATAATAATAATAATAATAATAATAATAGGCATTTATTGAGCTAAACATGATATTACATATTCTAATGAATAAAAAAAAAATAAAAAAAAAAAGCATGTTAGCTCAAAGGGGCGAAAGTTCAGACTGGTGGGCACCCAAGAGGGTACCACACTGTCTGTTCTACCACTTAACCCCATTCTATCGAGCTTTTAATACTCGACCACAAATGGCAGAATTGCATAATTTGGGTTTGTGCCAAACTTTAAGTGACTCAACAGTTTCAAGTACTCCGCTGTCTATCCATAAGTAAGGTATACATTGCTTTTTTAAAAGATTTTAGAGAAGAAAACTTTGAATCAGTGAAAACGTTGTAATAGGAATTATAAATTTTTGAAGCATTGTAAGTGAAACATCTTTGAAAAATACTGGTATTATGACTTGGTAAAGAAGTGAAGTTTTTGTTTCTAATATTGACATTATGCCTAAATTTAATTTTGCTGTATAGGTAATCTGGTGTTTTCGTGGAAATGATGTTGTATAAGAGGCATGCTGCGTGTAACACTCTACGATTTGACATGTTAAGCCATTTAACCTCACTTAACTTATTACTAACATGCTCATATCTTTTTAGACCAAAGATGAGCCTAAGACAAGAGTTTTGCATGCGTTGCACTCGTTTGACGTCACTTGCGTCCAGGCATGGGCCGTATATATATTAAAATGTGATAGAACTAAGGATTCGCAAAGCATTACCTTAATCTTACGATTGAGGCTATGCCTTAAATTAAAGATCATTTTTAGATTAAGATAGGCTTTTCGAAGGAGTCCTGACACGTGACTTTTAAAACGAAGTTGATTATCTACCACAACACCTAGATTTCTGACACTGTACACTACAGGAAGCAAACTGTCTTTAATTTGTATTGCAACTTGCGAGATGTTATTGTTTCGGATTTTGTTTCGACCAAATAACATGACACTGCACTTGTTAATATTAAGTTTTAGACCATGCATTTCAGAAGTGTTTACTAAACTTTGCAAATCAGAATTTATGAGGCTATTCGCATCCTCAATTTTATGAGCTGGAAATGTATAGAATAACTGCGTGTCATCCGCATAGAGGTGATACATACAATGTTTAAGACAATCTTGTATTTTGCTGGTATAGATGATGTACAACAATGGTCCTAAGACAGATCCCTGTGGTACACCCGCCATAACAGAGAGAGAGAGAGGTAGACACATTTCCATCAAGCCTAGTACACTGAGTGCGGTTGGATATATAACTTTCAATCAGGTGCACAGCCGAAGTGCTGAAACTATTGTACTTAAGGATGGATGTAAGCAATTTATGAGAAATTCTATCGAATGCTTTTGAATAATCTAATAATATCAGCATAGTTAAGTTATTTTTGTCAATCGCAGATAAGATTGTATCGGTTACAAATGCAAGTGCCGTATTACAGCTATGCCCCGGACGAAAACCTGACTGCATCGGAGGTAACATTTTCTCACTGTTTAAGAAGTGTTGTATTTGTGAAGCCATGATCTTTTCAAGAACTTTTGACAAGCAGGGAAGAATACTAATTGGCCGTAGGTCCTTAAAATCTTGAGCATTCTTTATCTTAGGTAGCGGTACCACAATGGCGTTCTTCCAAGCATTGGGAAAAGTCGATTAATTGGTCTCAGATTTTGCATACGCATGCCTTTAGTGGTGCTAAGTTAAACTGTAGGAAATGGAAGGGGGGGTGGGGTGGGGGCAAACACACGTTCTACCCTTCATGGTATTCCAATGAAAGGTCTCATCGAAATAACTTTCCCGTGCGACTCTTGTTCGAGATCAGTGAGCGACGGGGCTGGGGGGGGGGGGGTATGGAAATAGGTATTGAATACCCCCAGACCCCCCGGTGCTATTTTCTTGATCAAGACGTTCAGGCCTAAGACCTCTGTTATAGCTCTTCGTAAAAGACACCATCTTTTCCTAAAATTATGATGAAAACCGAAAGCAGGAAATATGTTGGGGAAGAAAGTACAACTAGGGGGTGTGAGGGGTATGGAATACGACTCAGGAAAGAAAGAAAAATTCAACATTCATTTCCTTACAAGTTGATATGATATTTTATCTAGTTATCATCTGATAGTCATTTATCGTTATTGTCAAGGTTCATTGAATTGTCTAGTTGATTTCTTTAAGCTAATAAAAGCCATATTTCCAGTGGTTACAAATATTTATATCACAAGTATCATAAGACCTTCGGCCACTGGGGGGTATTCCATACTTCCTCGAAACGATCATGTCGAAGGGCTTTCATAACCGAATTTTTCTAAAAATTATGATACAAACCCAAACCAGTAAATATTTTGGGGAAGAAAGTACAACAGGGGGTGGGGGGGGGTCTGGAGGAACGACAGAAAAATAAACAAGTATATCATTACAGTTGCCTACTTCTGTTATAGTTTTTCGTAAAGAACACCGACCCTTCCTAAAAATGGTGATACAAACCCAAAAAAGCACTAAATATTTAGGGGAAGAAAGTACAACCAGGGGGTCGGAGGGGGGGGGGGTATGGAATAATACTCCTCAGGAAAGAAAGAAAACTTCAACGTTCATTTCCTTATACGTATCATAAGATCTTCGGCCACTGGGGGATATGGAGTACCTCCCAGGCCTCTCCGGTGCAACTTTCTTAATCAAAACGTTCACTCTTAAGGCCTCTGCTATAGTTCTTCGTAAAAGACACCAACTCTTCCTAAAAACTATGATGTAAGCCGAAAGCAGCAGACATTTAGGGGAAGAAAATACAACCTGGGGATCTGGGGGGTATGGTGAGAAAAAGTGTTTTTCCGAGAAATTTTGGTGCAGTCGATTTTTGGTAAAAAGGAAGGTTATACACTACCTTTTTTTGAGGCCCGAAGAAAAAATTGTCTCAGATCTACCCGGAAAAAAATTTTTCTTATAGAATGTGGCCTGTAGAATCCACAATTTCAAACAGTCCCAAGATCAGGCTACTAGTTCAAAAGTTACAGCCCTTTGAATTTTTTTTCGAAATTGGTTTCTAGTTTATAATTTTTGATTGAGAAGTCTAATCGAAAAAGTACGAATTGTTTTGGATTCTACGCACCAAAATTAGTAAGAAAAAGTGTTTTCCCGAGAAATTTTGGTGCAGTCGATTTTTGGTAAAAAGGAAGGTTATACACTGCCTTTTTTTGAGGCCCTAAAAAAAATTGTCTCAGATCGACCCGGAAAAAAATTTTCTTATAGAATGTGGCCTGTAGAATCTGCAATTTCAAACAGTCCCAAGATTGGGCTTTGAATTTTTTTTCGAAATTGGTTCTAGTCTATAACTTTTGATTTAGAAGTCTGATCGAAAAAGTACGAATTGTTTTGGATTCTACGCACCAAAATTAATAAGAAAAAGTGTTTTCCCGAGAAATTTTGGTGCAGTCGATTTTTGGTAAAAAGGAAGGTTATACACTGCCTTTTTTGAGCCCGAAAAAAAAATTGTCTCAGATCGACCCGGAAAAAATTTTTCTTATATAATGTGGCCTGTAGAATCAACAATTTCAAACGGTCCCAAGATTGGGCTACTAGTTCAAAAGTTACAGCCCTTTGAATTTTTTTTCGAAATTGGTTTCTAGTCTATAAATTTTGATTGAGAAGTCTGATCGAAAAAGTACGAATTGTTTTGGATTCTACGCACCAAAATTAATAAGAAAAAGTGTTTTCCCGAGAAATTTTGGTGCAGTCGTTTTTTGGTAAAATATGAAGGTTATACACTGCCTTTTTTTGAGGCCCTAAAAAAATTGTTTCAGATCGACCGGGAAAAAAATTTTCATATAGAATGTGGCCTGTAGAATCCATAATTTCAAACAGTTCCAAGTTAGGCTACTAGTTCAAAAGTTACAGCCCTTTGAATTTTCTTTCGAAATTGGTTTCTAGTCTATAACTTTTGATTGAGAAGTCTGATCGAAAAAGTACGAATTGTTTGGGATTCTACGCACCAAAATTAATAAGAAAAAGTGTTTTCCGAGAAATTTTGGTGCAGTCGATTTTTGGTAAAAAGGAAGGTTATACACTGCCTTTTTTTGAGGCCCTAAAAAAAATTGTCTCAGATCGACCCGGAAAAAAAATTTTCTTATAGAATGTGGCCTGTAGAATCTACAATTTCAAACGGTCCCAAGATTAGGCTACTAGTTCAAAAGTTACAGCCCTTTGAATTTTTTTTCGAAATTGGTTTCTAGTCTATAACTTTTGATTGAGAAGTCTGATCAAAAAAGTACGAATTGTTTTGGATTCTACGCACCAAAATTAGTAAGAAAAAGTGTTTTCCCGAGAAATTTTGGTGCAGTCGATTTTTGGTAAAAAGGAATTTAAAAATTTAAAATTATGATACAAGTGCCAAAAGCACTAAATATTTTGACGAAGAAGGCACGACCGGGGGTCGGGGGATATGGAGTACCCCCAGGAAAGACAGAAAAATTCAATGTAGATTTCCTTACACTTTGTGATGGAACCGAATTAGCCCGCTAAAATTCGATTTAAATATTCCCGAAAACGACCCTGGTGCGACGAAAAAGTCAAGATTACCTTTGTTTCGTTTCCGTGGAACACGTGTTTTTTTCTTCTCTGCTGTACATTGAATGGGCCATAATTTACAATAAAAGTGCTAGTGGGTTGGACTGGCCCTAGAGATGTCTGAATGAATGGGTTGGGGTCCCGCTTAGTCGTACATGAGGGCGCTGGCTAGGCCCGGCCTAACTTGCGCAGGGATTCGCTAAAAGCGTGTGGCGTGTTCCCGTTGTGACCTTTTGTTTTGTTAACAAGTTGGGATATCCTTCCTATGTGAAAGGCTCTTCTGAGAGGCCAACTCCTAGCGATTTCATACAATGCTGACATGTCATGACCAGAGCAACTAAAGACTACTCGGTGTGGGAGTTGGACTGGTCATCCAATATCCAAACCTATTATATGAAATTATTATAATGTTTTAATGATTGTTTTTTGTTATGTGTGTGAAATATTGATTCTTTAGGAGCCTGGGGTTCGACATTGTATTGATGTACTTGACAACATACATTTGTGCCATTACAGACAACTAATTTTGCTATAAAGTTCAATATTAATTTGTTGGCTGGGTTTTTTTCTTGGTTAGTTCTTTTTTCCCAGCCTATTGTTATATTTGTATACTCGGTGAACTACCATTTTCTAAATTTAATCTTGCAAAGCGAATTATTTGGATTAAATCTCCGTTTTTAAAGCATGTACTTGTTTTCTTGTATTCCTTACTTAATTCTCACTCCGACAGGCAACACATATCTTGTAGCGACTCTTAAAAACACAACGTAGTAAATGGTCCTATCATTCAGTTATTCAAGTTAGGTAGCTTTGTCTAGACGATCACGTGCCATGGGGTTCAGTTAGTTTGGGAGGGAAAGTTTTGAATTTTAGATCTTGAGTTGCGCAGTCTCTCGGGGCTGGCCTGGGTACAGCACAACTTCTCTTCGGGCGCTGGCGGAAATACCCCCCAGCCTCTCCGCTGCCACGTTCTTCCACAAAACGTTCAGGCCTAAGGCCTCTGTTATAGTTTTTCGTAAAGAGCACTGACTCTCCCTAAAAATTATGATAGACTACCATATTTATTTTTATAACATTATATAAGCGTAAATATTATTTTAAAACTTCACTCTGGCAGAGATCGGACAGTACTATTTGAGAAAAATGCTGTAAAATTAGACTTTCGGACTGTTCTAAGTTGGCATTAAAACATTTATATTTCTATAAGTAAATGTGCGAGTTATAAGAAAAAATCGTGAAAATTGAATAGATACAAAATTTTCTTGTGGAACCCCCAAAGTGCAATCATACGTAATTTCCGTAACTTAGACCTTCTTCAAATTCTGTAACAGCATAAAATACGAGATCGAAGCTTTCGCTACCTACAAGCCATATTTCTTGAAGCGACCAAGAATAGTATATGCTTACCGTGAGAGATGTAGCGATTTCCAACGGTGCAAATTTTCCGATAGTAAATTTGACCGACTTTTGCCATCTTCCGATCACCATTATAATCATTTTCTGAAATCTCAAATCAGTGCCGATGAAGTCAATTTGGTAGCACGAATACGCAATCTCCGCGCTTTCTATCATGACTACGTTAGAGAGGTAGCAGTCAATGAAGAACGGCAAAAAGCCCATTAGTAGATAAAAAATGAGACGAAGAGACGCGATGCTAAAGATCGGGCACTGTGTAACAAATACTCATTAATAAATTTCATGATGTCGAAATACTTACGTCTACCAGAAGGTACAGTATTAAACATGTAAATACCGATAAAATGATAAAATTGAAGAGTATGCATCTGTTGAAGATTGTCTCAATTACTTCAGCAATTTTCATGAGTGATTCGTGGTACGTAAGGGCACCCTTCATCTGACTATGAAGGTATTTCCATGGAATATCACTGCTAACCATCGCACTTTGGGGTAGTCCTCGTTCTTGGCAGTAAACCTCTTTGGCGTTTTCCACTATTTCTTTGAGATTCATGCTTAGATGCTTAAAATGCATGCGTAAATGTGTCATGGCGCACACTTTCAATACGTTAATCAATAAATACTCGTGACAGGTTGCAAGGTAGACAAGAACTTGGCATAGGAAGCAACCCGCATATCCGATGAAATCCAGGGTCCACTCTGGCATAGACCCGAATGGTAAACCATTGCCGTTAGTGGAGAAGAACCATCCCCCAAGAGCCAGTACCCACAATACTGGTGCTAATGGACAAGCTCCGTCGCCCTTAAAAACATCAGTAGTCTTTTCTTTCAGCACATGCATTTTTACCACTCGAGCGATGAAGGTGCTTAACGCCTCCAGATGCTCATCTCGACCTTTCTTTCCCCACACATCAACTTCCTCAAGCAAGTCGAGCAACGTGGCGAAATGTCATCTCCAAATCCTTGCCGCCATAACAAACGGAGGGGCTAATTTCGTTGGATTTCAGTGAGAAAATTACGTGTGCAGTGTATACATACTAATTAGTAAACCGATGCCGTGCATGACCTCCTCAACTTTCTCACTCAAATCCCATTCCATTGAGTGTACAATTCCCCAATAAGCGCAAAAGAAAAACGGAAATAGACACATGTACACATTATCGCTGCTTTCTATATCCGTATAAAGCACTAGTCCGGTTAATCGCATCCAGTTTCTTATTTTCGAAAAATACTTCACCATCGTCGACGGTTTCCAATTCAAAAAAGCGTTTTCTTTTATGTAATTTTCAGGTGTTATAACGGCGATAATTTGTGTTCTGGGGTACTTTTTACTTTTGATCAATACGTACCATTAATATCTCAAAAGAACTGATCGACCGACCTGATTACTCTGCTATTCTATATTTTTTAAAGCATTTTACCTTTTAAAAAATCGTGATGCTTCCCCATATGAGAAAATAACCATCACATTTATCTCAGATTTTCTGTGAGGTCATACGAAGTCCCTTTCTTTCTAAGTTGTAGATATTTTTTAAAGAAAGATTCTGTGAAAATCCCTTAGGGACGTTTCTCACTTGTTAGGTACTCTCTGAGAGTTCTATAGAAATCCTGCTGGTATTCAAACATTTTTAGGGTTTCTTCAGTCTCTTTGAAGAGATTCATTACAGATCCTAAAGTGGAATTTTAAGTTTAGATGCATAAGGTCTTAAGAAACCTTAAAAAATGGTTGAGATACATACAAATTAAAAGAAGAATAAGCGAAATTTACTCCATGACACCCAAAACCATCTGGAACCAAGTTTAGGCAGAAGATAATCCACCCGATTCGTTTCCTCCAAGGACAACTGTAAATCAGGTTCGGAGAAGTGAGTTGTGGTGGCACGGACCACGATAGCTCCAAGAAGGACCAAGTGCGAGGGACTCCACGCACGTCCCAGAGACACAAGAAGAAAGGTAACCGAACTCAGCATACAGAAACAGGATTCCATCACGACCAGGTTTTCCTCCGTTGATAAAATGAATAGCATACTGCCGTCTGGTCCGTCGGGAGGTCAGAAGCTTGAATAAGACGGGTATACTGCAAGTCACCCAGACCTGCATCATTGCAGACGATTGAACATTATTTAAAGCTATAAGATAATACCCGACCGAACTTACTTGCTTGGATGATGATTAGGATTTACAACCCTCACTCTAAAAGTACTGAAAGAATAGTATTATAATCTTTTAAATTATGAATGAGTGATGCAACAGAGTCGGATATTTTTCAATACAAATTACAGCTCGTCCCCTCTTTCGAGGAGCCTGCTATGCTACCGGGTCCGGCTTCTTGGAACTACCAGGCGAGGAGTCCAGAAAGGTGTGGCGTTAACGAAATATCGAAGTGGTCGAGAACTAACCTAGTGATGAGGTAACTAAGGAGATGGGGAGAATAATAAACAACAGTAATTTTGTAACGTTTGAAATAAAAACCTTTCTACTTTTAACATTCAGTGGTCTACGAATATTTGTTTAGTATTCGCTAAAACCCACAAAGAGTTTGCCTAGATTATCGTCCATGCAGTTGCCACGAGTAATGCGGAAATGTGATCTCACCTGGGCAGAGTCGCTTGCTCAGGGCTTGGTTGCGAGCCCCTTCCCAAGAGAAAGGCCCGGTATCTCTTCCTACCAATTCTTCTGCTTTCTGGTAGTTTCTTATTTTTATCTTTCCACAACAAAACGACCTCCCACCTTTCTTTATTCCTTTTTTCTGTATTTTTCATCATTTTTAGCGTCTTTCTATCCTCCGAAGATCGCAAGTTGTATTTATAAATTTTTACTCCAAAATCTTCTATTCCAAAGCTTTGCTTCACTATCTCATGTAAGGTTCCTAGATCTTCTGTTTCTTCTTCGATTTTTCCATACAAAATTTGTTCTGTGTTTAAATCAATTCAGTAGTTTCCATCATTGTTCCACACGCTATCCATCCAAAAGGGGCATCTGCTATAATAGGAGCTTCATGTAGACCATTAACGAGCTGTCCAACTCTGGTACCATTCCAAGTGACTTCCGGGGGGTACCCTGGGTGGTACCAACATTATTAACACCCGCCTTTACAACTGTACCTAGGCGTATTATTATTTCGTATTATAGGGAGCACCGTTTAACTATCTAAAAGTGAATCTCATCTCAAAAGATTTTTAATTTTCCTTTTGAATAGTTGCGACTGATAAACATGTGGAACCTTTTACAAAAAAAGCAGACAGGTAACTAAAGGAAACTTTGTAACGTGTAGTACCCACTGTGGGCAGGAATTTGGAAGTCCATAATATTCCTTAATCTACTAACATGAAGGTGTAACAGTATTTCTGTACAGCTTATTTAAACTTTTATTTTTACGTGATTCAAGTGTCCAGTCTAAATGTAATCATGACTCCCAAGTATGAGTGATGTGACTGAATGGGAATGCATTTAAAGGAGAATTGTTTATTTTAAGTTATTGTAGCTGAGTATGCATTTCAAAGATAGCCGCTATGACGCAGAAAGAGAATTAAATATAAGTAAATATCGCGACGTAAATAGAATTGCATTCATCGTATGTAAATAGGTAAACTAGGGTACAAAACTGCATAGAAATAGCGAGTATTAACGCTAAGGTCAAAGTCCGAGTCATTGTAAATAATTAGTTGAGAGCTAGTAGAGCGATTCAAATCCGTCTATCTTCCGCTGCCAAAGTGTCAATAGCTTAAGTTACGGGCGTTCAAACTATTTATACATGTGCGAGTTTGCGCGATAAAGCGAATTGAGGTCAGTGGATACTAAGTGAGAAAGTATAAATACGGGGATTTCAAGCACCAGGATGACCGAGGCACGTGGCGCAGTGGATGCGCTCACCGATGCTATTCGGAAGGTTGTGGGTTCGAATCCCGCTGCCGACTGCTCTGTCTGGGGTTTTGTCAGGGGGTTTTCCTCAGACATACGTAGCTTCGCATAATGCTAGCATTATGTTGAAATCTACGAGGCGAATGCTGGAGCAGTACTCTCCCCCTCAGCACCCTATCTCCGTTCCTTCCGTTCCCATCCCTAACTTTACCCATCCTAACAATCCCGTTCTCTGGCTGAAGAGGGCCAGGAAGCCCTGAGCAGCCCGCCTCCGGTATCCCTGTAGTCAGGGGTGCCGGAGGAATGAAACACGTTGGCCTTTTTCCTTTTTCCTTTGCACCAGGAGAGAGTTGCCCGTCGCCGTTTTACGGAGCAACATCTATGTCAGTCGCGCCCGCAAATTATAAGCGTGCAGTTCAATAAAGCGTTAAGGCGACTTTTATAAGAAAAGCAAGCAAAAGAACCGAGTGAAATAATCTCCATCGAGCCAGCGTAGGAGACGAAAACGTTTCTTCCCAGCGCGCCGAAGAAAATTGGAAATTTACGAAATTACAGAAGACAAGGATTCCGTTGTCGGTACGTGCGCAATCCAGCTGGAGAGTACCAAACTGAGATCGAGATAAACCAGCCTGCCTGTGATTGGTCCAGCTCAAAAGCGAACAGCAACCTGCAGTGGGCGGTCCGAATTCATTCGACTTCCACATCGATCGTGCGACAAAGTGACCTCCAAGTCCTGGTGCACTTATGAACTCGAGGTATTTGTAGACAATAATTCGTTGTAGTTCGCCTCGTTGTAGATTTATTAATTCGTTGTAGTTCGCCTCGTGGTCGATTCATTATTTCGTTGTATTTTTCTTATTACAAAACTATTATAAATTGGTATGTTTGTAAAGGCGATTTAAATTACCTACTAGTGTTGCGTTCAATTTAGTGCTTATCAGCACTATTTGCATTCATTTAAACGACTCGAACCTGTAAGCGTTACTACACGCATTTACAGCAGTTTTGTGGTGAATTTCATATCATGCGTTTATCAAATTTATTAAAGAACTTCTCCATAATAATTTCTCCCATCTTGAATCACAGATTTATTTATTTTAACGGATACTCTACCCTAACTCTTTGTTTTTTATCACTCTCAACTTGTGATCGGTTCAAAAGCGTTATCTACGTACACCTTGGGGTGTAGTGACAACAAGTTTTTAACTTAGTCGTTACACCTAAGGACGTTACAAATGATATTTTAGTTATTTTCATTTTGGACATTTTTTACATTTACATTTATACATAGGTTATAGGTTTCTGTTACAACAAGAATGTAAATAAATGGTTGTTATTATTATTATTATAATTTAAATAGTGATGCAATAGAGTCGGATATTTTTCAATACAAATTACAGCTATTACAAGACGAGCCTATATATTTACCAGATGTATGATCATGATCTGACATTCTTCAAATCAAATTATATTTCACATATATTACTACTATTAGTATTTATGTAATTATTTGTATTGATATCGCCTTAAGCACTTGGTTTATTCGGAAAAAATGTTGTGTTCTGTTATTTATTGATATCACCTAAAACACAATTTCTTCAGGTGCTACTTCTCAAATTCTTCTCAAATCAGATTTATTTATAATTGTATACCGGCCAAAATGTGCGATGCTTCCTCCTATAAAATGGTTCATGCGTTCCCTAAACCAGATCCTGTCAAAAACGGGTATAGGGTATAATATGTAACACACCAATGGACAATTAAGTAAACTTTATTGTGTCGTTTCTCCTATCAGTGCCATGCCTTTCAAAGATTTGTCGATATTAGACAAAAATATTCCTACCTTCAGACAGTTTAAGTTGACATTAAAGCATCTAGACATCTTAAGTAAATAACAATTTTGCGTAAATTATAAATAGTTGTCGAGGTGTGTGTAATAAGACGCATTCATGAAAATCGAATAAACTCTTCCTTATCGGA